ATACAAGAAATTTCAGAAAAAAATTTTGGGGTTATTCTGCTATTTTACACGAATTTCGCCGAAAAATTTACATATTTAAAAATAATCACATTTGGTGTATAAGTATACACCTTGTGGGTTGTAGCAAGACCCTTCCGATAAATCTTGGGGTTCTATAAATAGGAATAAATCTTAAAATAAAATAATGTTATGAAATATACATTTTAAATTACGTCAAAATCGCGTAATTCTGAAAACCATTTTATGCGCATGCGGTTTCCAAGAAATACTGAAGTTTATCTTCCAATCCATATATATTTTGCGAAATTTCATTTGACGGCTAAGATGTGCCACACGTTGCATTGAAGTACCAAAAAAGTCGTAAATTGCGAATAATTTCCGAAAACTCCATATGCCATTAACGCGCATCCGATTTCGGTGTGCACCCTAAAAAAATACATCGATCTATACCGATTTCAATGTGGTCCACTAAGGACCATGGATGTGCCAACTCACACTATTTTGGAGATAAATTGCGTACATCTCTCTTTCGGCTAAAGTTTTTAAAGTTCTCTTTTCGAAAAAGATAGAAACCCGTATGAGGTCATTTATTGAAGCGGAAATTATCCACAGAAAACGCAATAAAATCCGCGATATTTTCAAAAACATTTTTTGCCAAATTTCGTGTTTTTGGAAGGTCAGTTCCCGCCGTTCTAATAGATGGATTTTCACCAAGAAGATTTTATATCATCCGAAACGTAAAAAACCTTATTGATCGCGGGTACCCATATCATTCAGTTGGCAGATCTTAGAATTTGGCCCGAAATATAGGTTTTTTAGAAATTTGATCGCACAAAATTCTCAACTTCGGATGAGTATTACTCTGAAGCTGTGCATACTACATACACAAAATACATATCAAATTACGCAGATTCGCGACTACAATAATCTTATAATCGATTTTTAGAAATTCCTGTTTGCGTATTCAAGCTAGAAGTAAAATTAAAAAAACACTCAAAATCGAGCTTCAAAATGTCAGCATCATTTAAAGGTAGATGCAGTTAAAATTTTGAAAAATTATACATAAGGGGCGTAGTCCCCATTTTGTTGGCTTCTAGTTTTACTTTGACACGAAGACCGTGAAATGAGTGGCTTAATCACAAATCGATAGAGAACATAAAAAAACTGGTTCGCCTCAACCTGTTTTTACACATTTTTTTTACATTAAAGTAGACACAGCTTCCACCAAAATTAAATTTGGGGCTCAGTATCATGAGCAGTTTGCAACGACAGATCAATTAACCCAAAACTATTCACTTTTTTTCATATACTTAAGTAATTCCCGAGTTATAAAGGGGTGAATCTCCGCATCAGCTATGTTAAAAAATTGGCAATATTTCCCATTTATTTTCGTAAAATCTTTGAACTAATATTCCCTAGCAAACATTATGTGTGATTTTATATCTTCAGATTAAATTTTTTGGTTTATTATTCAGTCCCCAATATAATTATTATTCTCTTAAAGTTATCAAGGACAAGTATTTACATAGTTATTTAAAACAAAATCATTCATTTGAAGTTTAAGTAGAATATTTAATCTGATATATGAATTAAACCAAAAAACCTATTCACAAAATATAATAATCTTTTGAAAAATAAAAAAAACTGCAATATAGAAACAGATAAAGATATATCACTTCCATTTAGAACAACAAAAATTATTTTTTCTTCTCAAAATAGGTAATAGAAAAAACAGAGTATATTTTTTTGTAATGGCAAATAAATGCAAATACAGGTATTAATTAAAGTATAAAACAACTATCAAACACATACATACATACACATGTATGCAAGGGCAGGATATACACACATATACATATACATGTGTATCGTCAAATGCATATACACATTCAACTCAAATTTAAATACTTATGATAATTCCCTTTTCAGTAACAAATGCATTGCCAACAACAATAGACCGGGCGAAGAGAAACAAAGTAACTCTGTTTGAATATCTGAAGTATGCCATTTGCTATGTAGATGTGGGTCTGCGTGTGTGCGTGCATACATAAATACATGGAAAGACTTATTGTATGAAAAAATATATGTACATATATGAAACAAGAAATACATATATATTTTTTAGATTGTGTATAAAATGGATTTGTGCTACAAAGTAAAACAATAACGTGTAACATAAACAATTGTTGCTTGTAGTTTCTATCACAATTTTTATTATACTGTGGAAAATTTATATAGTAACATATAGTCAAATATTGGATGGGAATCTAAAAAATCTATTTTCAAATCAAGTGAAAGTATATCTTGGTCAAGATTCGCAAATCTGACTGTTCTTCATAATATAGGTATACGTGTTCTCAACACAGATCTGATAAAATCAGAAAAATACGATTAAAGCATAGAATTCTAGTCTTTGAGAACCCTAACTGTATTATATACATAATACATTTGTAACAAGTTCGTTATAACCAAATTAAAATAAATGGAAACTGGAAGGTGAGACCGAAGAAATACTTATTTAGCTGGCTTGCGACAGAAGATTTGTTCCGTAAGCCTAGCTTAAAAATATTTCCAGGCGCGTTGGTCTTGTGCGGCACTCACCCAATTTCAAAGACCATGTTTCAAAATATTGTCTTTCAATTGATCTTTTCATCGAATTCGCGGCATTTCCCTTCTGTGTGAACCATCAGTTTGCTCGCTTTTATATGACTTTTGAGCTGGCTCGCCTCCATTCTTACAACATGACCTTGCCAACGTAGTCGCTGCAGCTCGATAGTCTGATATGTCGTTGTCTCAGAATACGTAGGTTCATATCTACCGTCGCGACGCGTCGACGCAGATCGGCCCATAGATTTTTCGGAGATTTATTCACTCAAACACTCCAAGGGATGCCTCATCTGCTTGCATCAGATCCATACAACAGCATGGGTAGGATCAATTTCTTGTAGAGTGTGAGTTTGGTCTGGCGAAAGGTGACCTTTTTCTTGAATTGCTTGCTCAGACCATAGTAGCATCTGTGGGCCAACCATATTCTTCTACGAATTTCAAAGCTGATGTTATTAGTTTCGTTTATGGCGATATTGAGGTGTATAAAATCGTTCACCACCTTGAGCTGTAGTTTTCAAGTTCCACAGTTGGTCCGAGTCTACTGGACGTCTTGCGCGTTGATATCATCAGCTTGGTCTTCTCTCCATTTACTGCCAGACCCACTTTGACAGACTTCTTCTCAATTTGTTCAAAGGAGACTGTTACCACTCGCAATGTTCGACCCATTATATCGATGTCATCGGCGTAGGCGAGTGACATGTATTGTTTGGTGTATAGAGTGCCATTTCTGTTCAAATTTGCATCTCGTATGAATTTTCCCAGCAGGATGTTAAAAAGGTCACACGGCAAACTGTCCCTTTTCTGATTCCTCGTTTGATATTGAAGGGCTCCGAGAGGACCTTTCCGACTTTAACTGCTGATATTGTGCCAGTTTATATTATCCTGTATAGCCGTATTAATATTCTGAGCGAATTGGGCTACCGAATGCGGCTTTATAGTCGACGTATGGGTGGAATATGTTGATGTCCATAGGCTTCAGTCGTTCACTCAAGGCACTGGATACCGCTTTATATGGGAAGGAGACTTATTATTCCTTTTTGTGCTCGGGACACACGATGCTGGCATGCATTCCTCTCGCCAAATCTGGAGTAACTTCTTCACCGCCACTATATGATAGCAGAAGCTTTTCAAAATGCTCCTTACAGATCCTCAACACGCTGTCTGTATCTGTCACCAGGTTTCTTTCTTCAAATCAACAGGAGGATGTGCCTGCACCAAAGCTTTCGGTTTGGTGTGTTACCCGTTGGTAAAATTTCCGGACTACAGAAGACATCTCAATTTGCTCACGTGTTTCTTGTTCTTTCTTCTTTCTTTTGAAAATATATTTCTCCTCTCTCCTTTTATCCCGATAATTCTCTCTTGCATTGCGTGTTGCTACTGTTTGCAGAGTTGCCCTATACGCTACGTTTTTCGCATCAGTAGCATTACGACACTCCTGATCGTACCACGGGTTTCTTGATGGTGGTCTTTCGTACCCAAGTGTTGCTTTTGCTGCAGTTTGTGGGGAGTGGGCAATTTTTTGCCATTGTGCATCTATATTATTATCGAGACAAGAAGTGCTTTCGAATAGCATATGTAGTTCTCTATAAGAATAAAGATTTGTATGAAATATCTGTCATAAAACTTCGCTTTAAAAGAAGTTCGTTTTAACTGGTGCTCGTTATAAGCATAGTCGACTGTACTTGGTATTTGGTGAAGGAAAAGATAATTTAAAAAAATCGATGGTCATACTTAGGACATACTTATATTAAATTGGATCGTCAAGATTTCCTCCTTTGATATTGTCAGATTCTGCATATACAACTCATCATCATTGAGCCTATTCTTAATATGAGTTTTGTTTTTTGCTTTCGAATAGGATTATTTTTTAATTTATCATATTTTAATTGTACTACAGTGTATGCATTCTAGTTTTAATACTACTTATTTTATTCAATGACTTTCCTGAAAGTGATTCTATTTTAGTTATTACAACAGCCTTTGCTCGACTTTTGTTGTTGGTTTCAAAATAAATATATATGTATATATAGTATATGTATATTACAACAATACCATTTTTCCAATTGAATTCAAAAATATAGTAAAAAAAGGAAGAAAAACTATAAAGAAAATGGATAACTTGGAATATTTTTTATGTCCATCCACACCCACCACAAACGTCATAGACCAGCAGCAGCCACATTTCATATTCCTAATAGTGGCTATGTTCGGCAGTAGTTGCATAGGTATGGATGGTATGAGTGTGTGTGTACGTTATATTCTCTAAAGGCAACTGGTCGTATGGTCGTTTTTATTTGACTCTTAGCAAGCGACTGCATATTTTTATTTTATTTATGTTGTATTTGCATGACACATAAAGTTAATTAAATTCAATATTTTTCCTGTTTCCTAAGCCACAACAGTAGCAGCAGCAGCAGCAACAGCATTAAGGGAAAAACTAAAGGTCCTCTGCAAGTGGATGTGTTTGGGTATATATTCCCGTTTCTATTATATGGACGAAGAAATGAGCAAAAGACAAAATGCTAAATAAAACCAAATAACAAAATAAACTGACAAATACTTAAAATGCCTTAGTGAAATGCCATTCCGTCGTTATGCTAGTGTTCTTTCTTTCTGTTGTGGCGTTTTTTTGTCTAGTATTTTATTTTCTTTTTCCTTTGTTGTTGTTTTTCTTCTGTTCTAAGTCTTTTGTATTTCTGGAACATCCGTTCTGTGTGTATTTTTTCTTTTTGTTATGGGGGGAAATGCTTTGATAATAATAAAGATTTTACAAGGAACAAGGGGGGGGGGTGAGGTTGGCAGGGTGCAACAAAATAGTGTTGCAGATACTGTTAACAATTTCCATTTTATTATTTCATGGACATCTTTCAAATATATTCACATAAACACAGATGCATTGCTATATGTATATACAGGATCACATAGTAAGGTAATACGCATATCCTTGATACAGTACAGCCACCATTATTTGACAGACACAGCCATACACACACATTTGCATACTGCACTCATCCCCCATTTTTCGGAAGAAATAGTTTCCAAAGTTTTTTGTTTTTTTTTTTACAAAGTAATTCTTAACAATTTGTCTCAAATTTGTAATACATTTTGAATTGAGTATAGAAAAAAAAGAAAGAAAAATTTGCCGGCTTTTGTTTCTTTTTTTGTTTCTTGACAAAAGCACACACAAGATCTTGTGTAAATGTACTTTGTTGGTACGTATGTGCAATATTCAAATGAGGTTTTAGTCATTTTTGAATATAAAAAGGAATTTAAATGTATGACAACATTTTTGAAACATTGCAGTTTTAATGTAAATTTAAAATAAACCTGCAGTTTCAAATGCTAAGTAGGGTCAAAGATGTCTCAATAGAGCTAAAAGTGATTGTGACTATTTGTGGAAACCGGGAATCGCAAGGTAGATGGTATTCATGAAATATTTACACAATCAGTATTACCAGATATATTTGTTTGTCAATTTTAAAGATTACGTATTACGATAAGTTGTTAATGTTTTCTAAAATTATAATCTGTCATAATATCGATGTGTTTTTGTACTGATAAGAAATGCGTTGATAGAAGTCCACAAAACTATATAGGTGGACTAATTTGTAATATAAAAAAATGATATTCCCTGAATTAGTCAATTTTCAACAGGGAATTTATGTATGTATGTATTTTTACACATTTCTAAAAACAAATATGTATTCAGTATTCAAAACAAATACCAACCACAACAAAAAACGTGTTAATTATTTTACCAGCTTTAAATTTTTAATATTTGTCGCATAGATATGTATATAAAAATAAACTGTTTATCTTATAACAGATTTGACACATTTCACATTTTCATTTCACGATAGTTTCCCATCCGAACCAAATGCGAAGCGGAGAATGAATGAAAAACATCAAACAAAAAAGCGGAAAAAAAACAATATTCCATCAGCGTTATTAATTGGACATGATACGCCTACAAATTCATTGAATAAGACAAATGTGTTTTCATTTTATTCTCAATTATTTTAAACGGCAATGCAAATGAAACAGAACGCCGAAAAAAATTGAAAATAAAATAAATTCGATCAACATATAAATCACATTGCACAAATGCAACATTTACAGGCCCTGCCGCCACCTCCGCCGCCACCGAATATTGGACACCAATGCAGGAGCATAAAAACAATAAATAAATGAATGAATAAAGCAGCCGAGAGACGGAGAGAGATGTGAAAAAAACTTTTTAAATTATTCATTTTTCTTTTTATCATTTTAATAGATAGATGTATCAAACATTTTTTTATTTGTCGAAGAAAAATGTTTAAAAAATATTAAAAATGGATATTAATGTGGTTTCAAGGGATAAAATAAATATTAAAAAACACATGATTTCTAAAGGTATTGTAGATAGGAAATCGCATCACATCCTTATTACAAGGTAGAATGGCTCGCAGGACATGTATGTATATATGTTCCTTAACAAAATCTCTTTATATAGAATGAAGGCCGCCTACATGTCTTCCACAGATATAATAGGTTCCGGCGTTCATCTTTACCAGCGTCAAGTAGATATTTTTGACATTCCGTGAGTCTATGATTTTTCACTTGCTTCAACTGTGGTACAGGGTATTATGTCTTTGTGCATATGTTTGTAACAGACAAAAGAAATTGAGATAGACCCATGGTTCCTTTTGGGAATATGCATAGAATCACTTTCTTGTTAAAAAAAAAACTTATAGTGAAGGTTTTTTTTCAGAAATAAATAGGTAATTTATTCATTAAAAAACAAATAGTATAAAGGCAAAATTTATTTTGAAATACAAAAAAAAATATTCTATGGAAAACTAAATTGACCCAATTTTTGTTTGGTCAAAACTAAAGAAAATTTTTAAAATAAAAAAAAAACTTTAAAATGTAAATTTTGCTATGCTTACGAGGCATTGAATCAATAAAATATTTTTCCAACTTTTGGGAAAAATCTGTTTGTACAGCACAATCTGAATCAGGTGATTTTGCTTTTGTAAAAATCGGTTCAGATTTGGATATACTTCCATATATATTTTTCTATTTTATGTGAATGATGCACCAAACTCCCAATATTTTTTTATGTTTGTAACAAAATTTTGCACAGCCCAGAATATGTGTAGAATCACTTATGTATGTGTGATAAGGTTTGTTCAAATCGGTTCAGATTTTTATATAGGTCTTAAATATATTTTTGTTCTATTTTATGTAAATGGTGCACCGAAGGGCCTATGTTTGTTCGATTTACACGAAATTCGAGGAATCGAAATAGGTGAAGAATCTAAAACATAGTTATTATAACGGTAAATACAACTAAAATCTTAGAGCTCATCTGTTTGTACTGTAGAGTTGCTTTAGTTTTGTCCAAGCAAAAATTGATACTATTCCCTTATCCATAATTTTTTTAAGTAAATAAAATAACCGAATTAAAACTGAAAAAAACTAACCTTCCATCAATCTTCTACAACAGTCCGTCATTTTCGTATATTCCAAACCCACTTGAATATTCCCAGTAATTCATGCTGTGTAAAATGTGTTTAAATGACCAAATATAATAAATATATCACAGTTAAAACAATCATTTAAAAAAATCGCAGATATGTGATATGGACACACACACCCACACGCACACATATAATACATATATGTGTATGCATTTGGATGCATCTGATTGAAACTGTGATAGCCATGTATTTATTTGTACCTTCCAATCGAATGGGTTCTGTAGAGTAAAAAAAAACATCATAAGCCGAGGGGAAGGATAGGATGTGGTTAACTATTTTTTTATATTTATTATTTAAATAAGTTTAAAATATTGCATATTAAAATGTGGGTTTATGTGTTAGTGTTTTACTGTCCATTTTTTTCTTGTTTTTTGGTAACAACATTTTTAAGTCTATCAGAAAGTGGGGTGAATGTTGCAAATATTTTGTGATAAACTTAAATTGAATATATTTTATATAATAAATGTTTTTATAGATGTTATTACATACTTCCACTCAGTTTGATTTATTTTAACTCATAAATAAATACCTCTTGTATTCCCTGATTTTATATCATTAAAAGTTTAAGCGCCATTCTAGTTATTGTTTTTACTAGAGTTTCTTGGAGTACAGATTGACTTCCAAAGTAAATTATTAGATATCGTAAGATAAATATTATTTAAATAAACATTTTTAATGAAATTTCACCAACAATATTGCAGATAGTCGAGACTTAAAATTTACATTTCCTGTTTTTAATGGTCCTGTTTTTATTAGACCAATCGTATTGGCTGTAATTTGGCACTCCAGGCTCTTGATGGGTAAACAAAGCTGCTTTGCAAAAAAACTGTCATTACAGCGAATACAATTAATTAAGAAGAAAAGACAAGACATAACAAAGAAAATTAAAACATAAATTTAAAAAAAAAAAATTAAACGACAAAGAGTTTCTGTGCCATACAAACACGCCAAAAAATTGCAGAATTCCGACAACACTCATATAATATACGTATAATTTTTTCTGTGAATTGTTTCCTGTTTTGACGTCCCGTTGTATGAATTCTGTAATTGTGTGTTTAGATTTTAAATATGAATTCACTCCCCCCGTCTTTTTAAACGACAACAACAACTCAACTCTATTTTTTGATTGTGTTCATTTTGTGTACATATGTGGTAATACAAATAAAATTAAAAACATAATAATAAACCACCGAACTTGCTTGTTTTACGCCCATAATCACACACACACACACTCACACACCAGCGTGTGTGCACTCACTCGCTCGCCCACATGCCACCGCATCTATCGCCTGTGGTCATATGAATTTAATACCACATTTATAAATGTTGCCTCGAAAGCCAGAAATTCAAATCTGCAAGTTGTTAATTAAAATAAAATAAATGCACGGCTATAAATTTACACATTTGCAACACTGAAAGCCAAATATTTCGTCGTAAATGTTTGCCAATCAGTTTGTTTTGGTTTCGCGGAATAACAGCAACAACAACGACACGGACAACAACACAATTTAATGGTTTCCGCAATTCAAAGCCATATTTCACCATTAAAAATAAACTATAAACGGCTTAATATGATCACCGGCGAGCAAATAAATCATCTTTCGTCAACGCGGCCCCCGCTCCCACAAAAAAATGAACACATATCAGATTTGCCAACTACAAACACACACACACACGCATATACATAGCTAGCCAACAGAAAAATATAATTTAGCGCCATGTATTTACAAAATGGCATTTAGCGCGTAATAAAATAGTTTGGAAATAAACATTGACCACAATTTAGCCAAAAATATATTTATTGCACTTCTAACACACATCTGTGTACACACTTTGCAGGACATTAAGGTAGTCAAAACAACAACAACCCCAAAAAAATGTGGAAAGTTTTTATTTTAACTGAAGGGAAACAATTTTTCCTTTACAACCTCAAGCCACAACCACAAAACCGAAATAAAACTCCACGTTCACCTCTACAAGGATATCTTTAAAGGGTTTAAAATTTTCA